GGCGCCGCGCCCCGAGACTCATCTTTGCACCCAATTAACTGTTGCCCGTTTAAAAAGTAAACAAATCCGGGAAGCTATTCAGTAACAATTAATGATAGAATTTTAAACTGGAAATCCATTCAATACTAATTAAATGAATGTAATTATAATTTGTTAGAATAAATCTAATTACACTTATTAATATCACTTTTACTTGTTTGTTGCGTTAGATATTACAAACAAATAATTAACTAAATATCTAAACATGAAAAATTAAATTACTTTGAAAATACAATAGAAGTAAGCAACAAACTACAGGAGTTAAATAATTTAAAAACTGGTAGGGAAATCATCATCCACTTGCCCTTATCCCTTATGGAGGGTCGGCACGGTATGTGCTGCTCTTCCATACATCTCTATCAGCCGTCATATCTAAATCCACTCATTTCTTAAGCATATCCTCTTTCACACAATCCATCCATACTTTCTTCGGTCTTCCTCTTCCCTTGTAGCCACATTCAATTTAAAAAATGGTAGGGAAATATAAAACGATAATACTTTTGGATAACTTTATTAGTCAACATTGTATGCAATAAACCACATTTGTTTTTGATATATTTTTTCATTATGTCATCATATTCAACTTTATCCAAATATAATCCAACTTTAACCAAACCTTTGCCGATACCAATGACAAAAATTAATAGACAAAACCTTTTAGAGATATTTACATCACCAGAAAATAATACCACTAGAAAATATACTTAGTTTTGTGCATTTTTATATAATTTAAGATGTTTCCTGTTACACAACTTACCAAAAAAAAAATCAGTTTAAAATATGTCCTATGACATTGTTTTTGAACACTTCCAATTAAATTAATTATTATTAAATATTTCCTTATAAAAGTAGATATTAAACAAATACTTTAAATGCTTTGCAACATAGATGGACAAAAATATACATTGAAACTTAATATACTTTACTCAAAAATAAGAAAAAAAATTAATAGTATAGTAGTATACTTTAAACTGTAAACCATGAAAATCCACCAATTGTATGAAAACATATCACATTTTTCTTATTACAGAAAATGAAAGAGATAGCTATGTTTTCGAACAAATATTTTGACAGCAGAAGGCCATGGTTACTACTATGATACAATATAGTTTTAGTTAACACTTTTATAGATTTACCACACATTTATAACATTAAGGGCCTGTCCTACCACTAGCTGATAAATAGATAGATTAAAAATGACGTCACTATCAGATAAGGTAACAAAATACGATGTTTCCATCACACATTCTACACAATAGATTGTTATCAGACAATTTACAATTTGGTGGGACAGGCCCTAATACTCATAGATAAATAATGAGTCTAATAAAGAAGACTAGGAATATCAATATCACAAAACTAAACTAAACAGTCATCTAGGAACTACATGGAATTACTAAAATACTAATAACACATTGGCAGGTCCAGAGGAGACTAAGGGATTCAAAAAAAAAAATATTTGACCATCCACAATTGGAAAATGTGCACACATTTTTATGACAATAAATGTTCCTAATTTTAACTGTCTGAAAAAAAGAGGTTTTCAAGCATTGCTTGAAAGATACATTATTATGTTAAAGCAATGAAAAAACTCATAAATAAGAAAATATTTATATACCATAGTTAAATACAAATAAATACATCACTTAATTTACCTTCCATTAAAAAATATTACACAATGAAAGGTAAGTTTGTCTCCTTTAATTCAATGGAACCATTCTTACAAACTATATGTAATTCATTCTGTGGTTCCTTTTCAAACCTGAACCGTTTAGGATGAGAGTCATCCATAAACCTTCCTAGCTTCATTATCTTGTCATCTACAGTTATCTTCTCTGCAATTAAGTTGGTAGCTGGCAGATTGTTAATAATGTCCGGTATGAGCAATTCAACTTTACCTTTCTCATGTATAAAAATACTACTCTTCTCTGTTAATTGCGATGCATGCATAAACACATCACCACTCTTCAATGACGCTTGTAAATTACCAGAGAAACCTGTTATATAAAGGTTGCCACTCTTTATCACATCAATCATTACAGATCTGTGCAAATGGTCCAAACGAATGTTGCCCATAAGTGTAATAAAATGGGATTTATTACTATAACAAGACTTAACAGCGATTGGACCAGCATGTGTTGTCACATTAAATGAATTCGCCATTATATTATTACAGCTTATACCCGAACTTAAACCAGTCTTCAGTTCAATGGTCGAAGCTTGAAGTCTACCGTTAGTGTTCACAGGTCCCTCCTTACTATCTACTTTGATGTTATTGGCTTTTATATCTGCAACATTTACCGTGCCTCGTTCAGTATGAACAACAAACTCCTCTCCTTCTAGTTTTGACAAAAACACAGAGGCGCACTCAGTGGTTGTGACCTGGACATTAAGTTTATATGGTACTTGAATGATACAAACATCATTCCTATCGGACGAAGTGTTTTTATTGAGCAACTCTAATCGTTTGGAGGTCTGTTTCACTTGGAAATCACTTGCGTCTTTACCCTCACTGTATAATGTCATAGTCAACTTATTATGAGCTTCGACATCGTTTACGTCTATAGGTTGCACCTTAACATGAATAGGACTCTCGATGAAAATACTCGTGTTATTATCTATTGTCTTCTCTACCGTTCTGACTACATTTAATTTCTTTATATCAGGTAGGCTACAGAAATCCGAAAAACTTAACCTCAATATCTTGAGACACTTATATAAGACGCGGTGTCTTCCCAATGAAAACATGACGAATAAGTATCACTTGTTTTAGCTTATAGTAACATAATTTATTTGGTTAATTTAAAATAATAAATCAATTAAATACTTTTTAACAGTTTACAGCTGTTGACACTTGCTGTCAAATAAATGTCAATTTCTTGACAACTGCTTATATTGATAGACGTCACACAAAATTCTATTTTCAAAAAGATATTTTTCAGTCTCCGAAATGCAAAAAAAAACCGTAAGATTTGTTTCATGACGAAAAATATTGTGGTATCCAGTGGTGTCTGGTGTTATGAATTCCACCATTCAGAAAGTCTGATTTCCAAAATTTGACAAATTTT